ATGGGTACCCGGCTATAGACAGCAAAAGATCTTGTCAGTTTGTTAGTGTTTGAGCGCTTAATCGGCTGCTCGCACTGTATGCTTCCCGGGAAGCTGAGAATGTTTCGGAGTGCTCTATGGTCTGCTGGGGTAATAATATAGTGTAAAGCGCATAGAGCCTGCTGTTGAGCGGGGATATATGCGCTATACAAATGCTATCTATTATTATTATTACTTGATAGATCACTTATAATTTATTTATCTCTCCGTGGATATTTCCCTCCAATACGTCATTGGCCAGAAGAAAGAGAAGCAAAGGAAATGTTTTTGCACTAGACAACCATCACGAAATCTTGTTAGGAAACAAATCTGTCGATCTCATCCCAGTGGAGGAAACTCCTTGCTTCGACAATGCGCCTCTTCCATACAACGTTCGTCCTTTGTCAAGTCCTCTCTGTGCCAGGGCTCACATTCCTCTCTGCAGAAAAGGCAGAAGTCATAGCAAAACAATTATCAGAAAATATTCATTTCATTCAGAGATTGTAACTACTATAAAGTCAAAATGTCAACAATAAAGTAATAATGAATTATATCATTGTCAATTTACTCTACATCTCTACTGAAGTCACTACTGGTACTTCAAATTTCTTGAAATTCAAAATACTTGTTTTACATTACTATCAGTCCCTGAACATAGATTATATTTTTCTGAAACACATTTAAAACCACTGTACCAAAACCTGTTGTTATGGTCAAAGAGAAGTTCAGTCCTGAACTCGCAAGTGTGGACAGTGTCACGTAGAGACGGCAAGCCTGGGCACAGAGGAGGGAAGACTCAAGTGGCTAGAACAGTGCACTAGAGGAGATGATGATGTCACCGGTCAAGTGTGAGGGCTTATCCGGGGAAAACCTACAGCATACAGCTGACCTTTTTTTGTCATCTTAGCCTTTAAATGTATTTATTTAGTTAATACACTCTATCACATGTTAACATTTTCGTTAATATACTCTACCACTACCACATGTTAACATTTTTGTTAATATACTTTATCACATGTTAATATTTTGGTTAACTATCTCTATCACATGGCCAATGGTAGGGGGTGAGCAGGTCCAGAATTTGCGACTCAAGTCTCAGTCAGAGTCATTTATACATCATAATACTCAAGCCAGTCCAAAATATATATGTGGGTGGTTGGCGAGTACTCTGGTGTGGTTTGCTTCTTCTTTCCTTTCAAACAGCTATCGTCATTATCTCCTCTCCTTCTTTTTTGTGTTTGTTACTCTCTTGTGACACCTCTAATCTTCGGCACTTATATGACCTTATTGAGTTGCAAGTTCCGTAAACGGACTAAAACTATATTATGTTAGTAGGCTAATATAGGAGAGTACCTATACAACAAGAGCACTTGAATCCTGAGCACAGACTCAATGTATCATTTGTTGATGCCCACTAGAGTAAATTTCAGCAATTAATAAATAATAATAATTTGAGGGAATTTTACTTGCACACAGCACACAAACGCACTGCAGTTTGGGCTAAACCCCTCTATATTTAGCTGCAGAAAACGAATGGCCATTAAAACCGTCCCAAATCAATCGTTTTCAAGAAAATTTCAAATCTAACGTTGTAAAAAATCAAATTATGGTGAAATACAGGGGAACATACCCCAAATACCCCCTCCCCCCTCTTTCCCAGGCCCAGTGTGTTGAAAGGAAGTGGCTATTCTCATACGGGGTGAGAATAGAAAAACGATCTACCTCTCACCCCGAGTGAGAATTGCCAGCGTAGGCTATTCTCACCCGGTGCGAAACAAGACCTGCTTTTCCTCATTTTGGAATACTGTCTATCGGTGTGGATGATCAAATTGATAAAAGCCAAGAAAAAATTACGTTATAGCACAAAAGTAAGCTAATTTGATCGTCTTCAAAGATGTTATGGCTATTTCACTTTTCGAATCGAGCCGAACTACGTGGGTCGCCATTTTGTTTTGCCCGGAAGTTCTCGCAAGATCTACTCCTCCCCCCTCTCTCTCTCTCTGTCTCTTTCTGAATACTGTCTATCGGTGTGGACGATCAAATTGACCAAAACAAATTTTAAAAAAGATGTTAAAACACAAAAGTAAATTAATTTGGTTGTCTACAAAGATGCTACAGCTATTTAACTTTTCGAATCGAGCCGAACTACGCGGGTCGCCATTTTGTTTTGACCGGAAGTTCTCACGCTACTCCTCTCTCTCTATCTTTCTCTCTCTCCACTGCCCACAGACAAAATTGTACGCTTTTAGTAGGCTAGGCTACAGTTGTAATGGAACGTTTGTTCACGGCACAGAATTCTACAATGTTTCTGTCATCGCAGTGTAGAATTCTGTGGTTTAGGGTGAACGCAAAATTTGTTGGCCTAGATCTAGGCTATAACGGTAAACGCGCACCGGGTGAGAATAGCCAAAAGACTCGCCTGCACTATTCTCATCCCAGGTGAGAATAGAGGTGGCCGTGTTGAAAAAGGAAAAATATAGGCCTTCTTTTTATTTCTAGCATGAAATATGCAGATCCACCATGGAACAAATTCACAAAAGTACAGTGGTAGGCCTTGGCCTATAAGATTTTTTTTAAAACCCAGAAAGAAAAGGATTTCAATTTCAAGGAAGTAGACTGGGCCAAGCCCAAGGCCTCTGCCTCTATGGCTATGGTGTGCCAGCAGACCACGGCATCGACAAATTTGGGGCAGTGTTCCAGTTGACACTCTGTTCACCTTGTATCAGTTAAAAAATCATTAGCCATTTTTCTTTGCAGGTAATTATGTCATTAGAGCCTCTAGATTCTAGATCTAGAATCTTGTCTAATTTGAATTTGTCCGTCACGGGTCGATGCATTCTTCATCATGTGTAGCCTCTGCCTCTGTCATGATTCTCTAAGTATGGGGTTCCAACTTTTCAAGATAAAATTTAGATTGTGGAAAGGTGTGGAATCATAACCTTGATATTTACCTTGCCAAATTTCTTCTGACAAAAGCAGAGGACACACTGAGGTACAAGTGTGTGTCCTTCGATGAGTCAATGATGAGACGAAAGTGTCACGAAAGATGTTCTAAAACGAACTGCGAAGCACGAAAACAATGAACTGGAATCAATTCATGTGCAATAAAACCCAACACGTCTCACCTAGACAAAAGTCATAGCGATTTCAATTCAGCAGAGCCGCAGTGCGTTGAATGCGTTGTTGTTGTTTTTTTATTTCGAATTATTCATTTCGCCCATTTTCCGATAATAATGATTTATTATAATCTAGATCGAGATATGAAATTGAAGTTGCCAGTGATTGATAATATCAGAAAGATTTGGGCAATGTTTGATTTGATGATTGTAGGCTACTCTTTGTTTGCAAGTCCATGTCTGTCTGTCTGTCTGTCCATGTGTCTGTCGGTCTGTTGGTCTGTCTCAGTCTGTCTGTCTGTCAGCCAGTCAGTTAGTCGGTCAATCTGTCTGTCTGTCAGTATGTCTGTCTATCCCCCATCCCCTCTCTGCGTCTCCCCCCCCCAAATAATAATCTACCGTCCAGAAATGAAACCTGTGTTCATTTGCACACATAGATCTATATATATTCTGTTGTCTAGAGCTGAGACAGTCTTTGTTCTAGATCTTTGTGGTGGGAAATAAATGTTTGTTTCAGAAAGTCGGGTACCGGAACCGGCATGTTTCCTGAGGATGTCTAACTTCCTTCCAAAAATGAATATTATAGTACCTGGTAATAACTTGGTCCAATTCCAAATTCAAAGAACATATTCATTTTTTTTAATTGTCAGAAAAACTATGTATGATTTCTAGGTAAACCTAACCAGCCGGTCATTGCCATGTTTCCATGTGGCACTAAGGAGATGTTTTAGGTTGGTCATTGCCATGTTTCCATGTGGCACTAAGGAGATGTTTTAGGTTGGTCATTGCCATGTTTCCATGTGGCACTAAGGAGATGTTTTAGGTTGGTCATTGCCATGTTTCCATGTGGCACCAAGGAGATGTTTTAGGTTGGTCATTGCCATGTTTCCATGTGGCACTAAGGAGATGTTTTAGGCCGGCCAAGAGGAAGATATATCTACCATGCGGAAGGCACACCCGCAAAGCCGTTTCCATGTCCATAAAAGGTATAGAATATTATGGCCATATTATGCTATTTTCAGATCCATGACACTCGTGAGTAAAAGATTCTGATTGGATGAGATAGATTGTCTTCAAGTTAAAGAGAAATGATTTTGCGAATACCACTCAGATTTTTAAAAATAAAAATGTTCCAGAAAACAAACAAAACGTTTAGATAATCTAGAGAAAATCTCCCCACAAGTTTGTAGAGGAACCTGCTGTAGGACGATAATTCAGCTCATCATAGCGTAAGTGACATAGAATTGTTTGAGTTTCGCTGAGAACGGCTGTCAGTTGCTTCTTGATAGGGGTGTATATCGGCTGAAAGGGAATGTTCGTACCGTACAAAGGATATAATGAAAATACAGGATTTTATTTGTTAACAATCAGTAATCAAAGAAGCAAAAGTGAGAACGTCAAAGAAGTACAAACGTTGAAATACTCAGCACAGGTTCTTACATCTGATTCGCCCCAGCAATAGAACGGAAAGCTGAAATACCCGTACCTATGCTAGTTGTGATGCACCAAAGAGCCTAATAATCCTGAAAAATAGAAATACATCTCATTGACAATGAAAATAATTATTTTTACAGAATATCTTAACTTGTCTTACTCGACGGCTGTGAATGTTGGACAATACACTACAATATGTACTTAAAACAACGACAATGAATCACAGGAAACAGAACTGTCTAGTGTCATAGCAGA